TCCAAGTTATGAGTCTTCTACATCTTTCTTTCAGAACCAATAATTCTGTATATTGATAAAATAAAAGACGTTGCTATTCAGGCTTCTTTAATAATTCCAATTCCAAAACTTCACTGTTGCTGTTTTTTTGTTTTGTTTTTACTGCATAACTCGCAGTGCCCTTTCTGAAAAATATATAACTAGAATGTAACTTATTACACTTTATTGTATCCAAGGCATCTATATTGGACATTGCAAGCTAGTTTTATTAGACAAATTCCATAAATCAATGTAAGTCTTTGGGTAAAGCAAAGAAAAGGCTTGATGGCATCAGCTTAAATTCCTTCTAGAAGTTGTAAGTGAGAAATATTAAAAGAATGTCGTAAATGTTCAGTAATAAGAGTATAATGGTATGGAATGGTAATAACACCAATCTGAATTGTGTACCATCATTCATTGGAGACAATTATATTCTGACTAATCAGTATCACCCATTCGTTACAGGTAGGATATACAAAGAAATAGCAAGCAAGATTCCAAGGACTTGCCCAAGATGATAATGACTCAGAAGCAAGCCTAAGATTGAATGAGTGCCCTAATTTACACCAAATCTTTGCCTTTCTCTGTGTGCCAGGCATGCTTAAAAACTCCCTCTCCTCCTACTTGAGTCTACGTGGACTTCTAGAACCATTCACAGGGTGTTTTGAGAGTCTACTCAGGACAGTATGCCTCAGGTATTTGTCATGCTGTCACAGGAGCTACTCTTAAAAGCTCAGAACTATAAAGAATCTCCATGGCACTGCCTACAAAGCATTCTTTTGGCCTCCAGTGTTTGTAAATCTCTTAAAAATATCATCTCCTCAAAAGTACCCTAAGGATGAGTGGTAGCTCAATTGCAGAGTGTTTGCCTAATGTATGAGAGGCCTTGTGTTCAATCCTCAGTGAAAACAAGCTAGCACCATATAAATATCTTCAGATCCTGCTTTAGGAATAGTTTTGAAATTTGGGGGTTGTTTTGAGTACTGAGAGGATCAATCATAGGGCCTCACCCCATACAAGGCAAGCAAGCTATCCTAAACGCAACTCTGACCCTATCACCTAGATAATCTACGTATTTAGGCTGGGGAAAATGATTTTTTAGTGTTAAAAAGTTACTTATGTATGAGAATATCGGATGCTTCAATTCTAGTTCAAATGAAAATCAGTGATTTACAAGGTTCTATATAGAAACTGCAGGAAAAGGTAGGTATCTAGTATACTATAGGTTTGAAGAGCAAACTGAACTAAAACTTACTAATCAGTCAGGTGTGATTATTGTTTTGTCTCCATTTACTTACAGAAAGAACTACAAATGCATCTGAAGAAATTACAAATACTGCTGGGCCTGAGTGACTCACTATCTCTTAGATACACAAGAGGCTAAGATCTGAGTACTAGGGTTTGAAGCCAGCCCAGGCAAGAAAAGTCTATGAGAGTCTTATCTCCAATAAACTAACAAAAAAGCCAGAAGTGGAGCTGTGGCTCAAGTGGTAGAACACTAGACTTGAGCAAAAAAGCTTTGAGAGAGTACCCAGGTTCTGAGTTTAAGCCCCAGGACAGGCACAAAAAAACAAAACAAAAAACCAAGTTACAAATCCTGCTTTTACAGAGAATAAAGAGCAAAACTAAATAGCAATCGCCAGGCACTTCTCACACATGTAATTCTAGCTACACAGGAGGCTGAGATCTGAGGATCCCACACTGGTTTTGAGCCAGCCAGGGCAGTAAAGTCTGAGGGATTCTTCTCTCCAGTTAACCACCAAAAAGCTAGAAGTGGAATGAACTGTGACTCAAGTAATAGCATGCTAGTTTTGAGCAAAAAAGCTCAGGAACAGTGCCCTAAGTTCAAGCCTCGTAGCAGCATGTGCACATGTGCGTGCAGACACATGGACATGGACACAGACACAGACACAGACAGACAGACAGATAGACAGACAGACAGACACACACACATGGTCACACATTAATTAATTAAATAATCATTTTACAAGTTTTCTTGTAAAATGCTGAGACGTAAGAATGAAGATCTTGGATTAGAGCCTAGAGAAGTGATTCAGGAAGTCCCTTACACAGTTGAGCCATTATTAACATCAGAGCTTTTGACTTTCCAAAGTTTGGTTTACCCCCCCTCCCCCCCGGGGGTTGGGCACTGTTCCTGAGGTTTTTTGCTCAAGGCTAGCACTCTACCACTTGAGCCACAGTGCTGCTTCCAGCCTTTTCCGTTTATGTGGTACTGAGGAATCGAACCCAGGGCTTCATGCATGCTAGGCAAACACTCTAACACTAAGCCACATTCCCAGCCTGGTCATTTTTAACAGTATCTAAAAGGATGATACTTATGAAGCTCCTTTTTATTTAGCATAAAACTTTTGGTAAGAAAGATACAAGCCAGGAAACACTCTCATTTTAACAAAAGCTGGTGTTTCTGTAGGGCATTGCTGGATGGCAATCTGTATATCACCTTAAAGAGAACAATACAAGAGAGAAAAGACAATATGAGTCACTGGAGTTTGAAGAGATTGACACAGAAGAATGAACAAACTCAATTGATCTAGGGAATGCTAAAGTAGTTTGCTTTCAAGGTTTCCTCTTTATAGTTCAATCTGCGTCACTTTGACTTTACAAAAGTTGTGTGGGAGAAAAGAAGAGGAATGAAATTTTGCAAGAAGAAATTATGCTTTAAAAATATGTAGAAAAATCTCAAGGTAAAAATGCTAAAGACTCGGGCTGGGAAGGTGGCTCAGTGGTAGAGCGCTTGCCTTGCATGCATGAGGCCCTGGGTTCGATTCCTTAGCACCACATAAGCAAAAACAAAAACAATAAAACCTTGTGATATTTAGCTAAGACATAGCTAAAGTAAGTTTAAGCATAATAAAGTTTGTAGGTTACTTTAAAAAAAAAAATGTTAAAGACTCCTTTCTTGGTCCCAGGAACTATCCAGGAACTCTTCTATAAAAAGAATACCAGGTAATACAATTATGTTAACTGGTTGATTTATAACTCAACAGGTATACTTGTCATTCCTGTCTGGGATGTAGATTTAGGAGAAAAAATTAAATAAAATGCCTTTTGAAGAATATAGATTCCAATAAAGCATATAATTCAAATAAAGCAATAAATGATCTACTGTCCCACATTTGACTCTGGACTCAAAGAGAACATGAAGAATTATTTTAAGTATGCAGTTCATTAAAAATCTGAAGAGAGGGAATAACGAGCTCAATCAAAGTTTTTTTGTTTGTTCTGTGTGTGTGTATGTGTGTTTACGCATGTGCGCACACACATGCATGCATGCACACTAGGGACTGAACCCAGAACCACACAAATATTAGGCTACTCATCAGCCCTGACTATCCACTTTCAACAACACTGCGGCATGCATGGGGGGAGAGGGGGCGCGACTTAACAATGAGTTACCCTTAAGAGAGTTCATTTACGATTAATATTCAAGTCAGGCACTGGTGACTACTTAGTACCCTAGCTACTTAGGACTGGGAATTCCTTGTTCAAAATCACCTGGGTAAAAAAGTTCATTAGATCTTCCCTTCTTAACAAAGAACTGAGTCCACTGCTCAGAGCTTTTTATTCTAGCTATAACAGGAAGCCTAAAATAGAGTGAGACCCAGCTGCTTGCCAGGGAAGGACATGAACATATCTCAAAAATTTCAAGTGCAAGCCAGGCGCCGGTGGCTCATGTCTGTAATCCTAGCTACTCAGGAATCTGAGATCTAAGGATCGCGGTTCAAAGCCAGCCCAGGCAGGAAGTCTGTGAAACTCTTATCTCCAATAAACCACCAGAAAAACCAGAAGTGGTGCTCCACCAGAAAACCAGAAGTGGTGCTGTAGCTCCAATGGTAGAGCACTAGCCTTGAGCTGAAAAGCTGAGGGACAGTGCTCAGGCCCAGAGTTCAAGTCCCATGACTGACAAAAAAATCCTTTTTTAATAATTTTTCAAGTGCAAAAAAATGCTAGAGGCATGGCACAGCAGCAATAGTGCCTGCTTGGCACATCTCAGTACTAAAAAAAAAAAAAAAGATTCGGAAGTGCTGAATATTCAGGGGCTGGGAAGGTGGCTCAGTGGTAGAGTGCTTGCTTTGCATGCATGAGGCCCTGGGTTCAATTCCTCAGCACCACATAAGCAAAAAGAAAAAAGCCAGAAGTGGTACTGTGGCTCAAGTGGTAGAGTGCTAGCCTTGAGCTGAAGAGCTGAGGGACAGCGCCCAGGCCCAGAGTTCAGGCCCCACGACCAGACCCCCCCCCCCAAAAAAAAAGTGCAGAATATTCTATTCAAAGTTCTAAGAGGCATGCCTATAATCACAGCATTCAAGAGGCTGGGTTAGGAGGAGGACGATTTCAAGACCAGCATGGGTTATGCAGGAAGACCCTATCTCAAAATCAGTTTTGAAGAACAATTTTTCCACTTTTTACCTGCTAGAAATTTGAAGTAACAAATTATAACAAACACTGCTGAAATCTCAAGATTTTTACACTATTTCTCTTCCTTCTAATTAGGCCAAGTGAGGGCCACTTAACCAATTACTTTAGTGTTGGCTTATTTCAGTCAAAAGAATTATGATTCAGTTCCAAGGATGGAATATTTCCAACTATTGGTACATAGTCTATATTCTGACCACCATCACAAATTGTTTCTTAATGTGACCAAAACCTAACAACAGGGTAAGTTCAGTAACATAACTGCTAGATTTTTTCCTTTCCTTTCCTTTCTTTTCCTTGCCTTCCTTTCTTTCTTTCTGTCTTCCTATCTTTCTTTTTTTCTTTTGTTGTGGTGCAAGGGATTGAATCTAGGACCTCCAGCACTGTAGACAAGTACTTCACCACTGAGACATAACTTCAGCCCAATCACTAAGTTCTATATTCCATTAGGGTAGGGAAAACCTATTTTATTCTTCTTTGTACTGCAAGCATCCAACATGGTGTCATCACATACTTTAGCTCAATAATTTGATGAAATAAAAAGTTACCATGTAAAATGTCTGAGTCATCTTCAACAAAATCAATGTCTCTCAAGTCCCATTCTGCATAATTGTCAAACTCCTGTTAAGGAAAAACAAATCCCCACCCCAAGCCCACAGGTTTGAATAATGCCTTTTCAAGTTGCTATGCTTTACAAGCAAACAGAAAACACACAAACCAACATTTGTTAAGAAATATTAAGTGGCCGTAAGAGGCCAGAATATGGATGCAAGTAACAAGAAATGAGGGTAGGTGAGGGAAAGATAAGAGATCTGTAAACTTTGGGGCAGTAGTAAAAACAAAAGATTAAAATAGCTATGTCTAAAAATGAGGTCTAAATCTGTTGTTCTAAATTTTCAAATGGCCTGTTCATTCCCCCCAAAATAACTTCAATTAGGTTTTCAAGTAGATAAGAACGTTACCAACATTAATTTGTTTACCTTTTGTTACTTTTCCAGGGATCTAAGGTTTACATTTTATTACCTTTTCAGGGATCTAATTTAGTCAGTACTATATATTATACATGCAGTTAACTGGAAGATCTGTTCATATTCTATTCAGTGAACTCAATGCATTGGGGGTAATGTGGTTCTACAATATCACCTGCCATGAAGAAGGTATTAATTTGGGTATGGTTAGAAAATTGTTTGCAGTTGTTAAAACTTTTCTCTTATATCCAGAAGCACTATAGATATGGATTAGATGATAGATCAACAGTCTATTTTTTTTTTTTGTCGTGGGGCTTGAACTCTGGGCCTGAGCGCTGTCCCTCAGCTCTTCAGCTCAAGCCGAGCGCTCTACCACTTGAGCTACAGCGCCACTTCCAGTTTTCTAGTGGTTTATTGGAGATAAGAGTTTCATGGACTTTTCTGCCCGGGCTGGCTTTGAACCACGATCCTCAGATCTCAGCCTCCTGAGTAGCTAGGATTACAGGCATTAGCCACCGTCACCCGGCAGATCAACAGTCTTATCATTGCATTCACATGGTTTTTTTTGCCAGCTGTGGAGCTTGAACTCTGGACCTGGGCGCTGTCCTTGAGCTCTTCAGTTCTACCACCTGAGCCACAGCGCCACTTCCAGCTTTTTCTACTTATGGGATGCTGAGCTTCATGTATGCGGGGCAAGCACTCTACCACTGAGCCACCTTCCCAGCCTCCAATCACATGGTTTTTAATTCTGTGGCTGAATGAGAAATATATGGTTTTTATACAAATTCATCATTCTTACATTGTGTGGATCTCATGCAGGAGTCAACAAATTACTGCCTGTTTTTGTGCATAAAGTTTTTTGGTTTTTTTGTCAGTCATGGGGTATGAACTCTGAGCCTGGGCCCTGTCTCTCAGCTCTTCAGCTCAAGGCTAGAGCTCTACCACATGAGCCACAGTGCCACTTCTGGTTTTCTGGTAGATAATTAGAGATAAAAGTCTCATGGCCTTTCCTGCCTGGGCTGGCTTTGAACTGTGATCCTGGGATCTCAGCCTCCTGAGTAGCTAGGATTAGGATTACAGGCATGAGCCACGGACGCCCAGCATGTGCATGAAGTTTTATGTGACCATACAGACATACTCATTTGTTTGCATATTATCTATGTTGCTTTTTTTACAATAACAAAAAGTTTAGTTGCAACAGAAATCTAGTAAGACCTGCAAAACTTAAAAAATATATACTACTAGAAAAAGTTGGCCAAGCCTTAATATTAATGGAATGAGAACCAGACTGTAGAAATTCCATACCTACAAAGAAAATGGGAGCCAGCACTGATAGAACTTAAACAGGTTTTTAGTACAAAGAACATCCCTTTTATGAAAGTGAAAATGTATACAAATGAAAAAAATGAAGGTAGGACTGTACAAAAGCCATATAAACTACAGTGTTTGTTAAGGAACCTATGGTTACAAAGCCCCTTCAAAAGCAAGGTTTTCCTCTCTAAAAACAATGTTCTCCTACCTCAATGAAATCTGCTCGAGCTGGCATGTATCCTGCCATGTCCCGAGAAAGCAAGGAGTCAAAAGTAGGCCGTGGAGGATCATCTGTAGCTGGAAGAATTAATACATTTTTCTTAATAAAATATTGACATGAAAAAGAAATAAAACTCCCTATTTACACCAAGAAACAAATAAAAATCAAAATAGTGTTAAGGACAAGTGAAAAAAATTAATATTAAAGTATTACAGGAAGAGACTGAGTTCTTTTGTTTTCTTACAGTGTTGGCAATTGAACCTAGGGCCTTGCCTATGCTAGGTAAATGTTATACACTGAGCTATACCCCAGCCTGGTTTGTGTTTCTTGACACAGAATAATTTAAACTAGTCCAGGCTAGTCTCAAACTTATAGCTTCCTGTCTCAGCCTCCCAAGTACTACAAGTATGAACATGTACCACCACAGCTAGCTCCAGTTTTAGTTCTTTAAAAAGAATATTAAATCCTCGCTACTCAGGAGGCTGAGATCTGAGGATCACAGTTCAAAGCCAGCCAGGGCAGGAAACCCCATGAGACTCTTATCTCCAGTGAACTACTTTAAAAAGCTGGAAGTAGTGCTGTAGTTCAATATAATATAATCTCAGGACCCCCTAAGATTATAATCCTCCTACCTATGTCTCCTTAGAAGCTAGATTACAGACCTATATTACCACATCTTGTTTGTTTTATTGAACTCAGGATTTGCTAAATTTTCATCTTGGCTGGCCTCAAACCACAATCCTATCTCTGCTTCCCAAGTAATAGGATTACAGACATGAGCCATTACATGCAGCCAAAAGCCCTTTTCTTCCCTTCTTTCTTCCCTCCCTCCCTTTTCTTTCTTTTTGTGCTAATACTGGGGCTTGAACTCAGAGCCTCAAAACTGTCGCTGAGCTTTTTCATTCAAGGCTAGTTCTATCACTGGAACTACAGTTCCAATTCTGACTTTTTTTGAATGGTTAATCTGAGATAAGAGTCTCATGGACCTTCTTACCCAGGCTGGCTTAGAACTGTGATCCTCAGATCCCAGCCACCTAAGTAACTAGGATTACAGGAATGAATTACCAGTGCCTGGTACAAAGCTATTTTTTTCTTTCTTTTATTCCTGTTGTAGGGCTTGAACTCTGGGCCTGAGCACTGTCCTTGAACTCATCAGCTCAAGTTAAGTGCTCTACCACTTGAGCCACAGTGCCACTTCCAGTTTTCTGTTGGTTTGTTGGAGATAAAAGAGTCTTACGGCCTTTCCTGCCCGGGCTGGCTTTGAACCATGATCCTCAGATCTTAGCCTCCTAAGTAGCTTGGATTACAAGCGTGTGCCACCAGCACGCAGCCAAGCACATTTCTTTTAATGTTATAGAACCTAACTATACTGTCAGTATCAGCTAACTTGGTCTTCAGGACCAATCTCAAATTACAAATATGCACCAAGTCAGCAGTCATAGTTCACTAGATTTGGAAGGTAGTTGGAACTGCATCCCAGCTCTACCACATTTTATAATCTTTGCACACATTATTTAAGTTTTCTGAATCTCTGTTATCTCATGGGTAAAACAAAAGGGCCTGTTCCGACAGGTATCAGTGGATCATTCCTATAATCCTAGCTATTCAAGAGGCTGAGATCTGAGGATTGTGGTTTGAAGCCAGCATGGGCAAGAAAGTTTGTGAGACTCTTATTTCCAATTAAACACCAAAAAGCCAGAAGTGGAGCTGTGGCTCAAGTGGTAGAGTGCTAGCCTTGAGCACAAAGCTCAGGGACAGTACCTACCTAAGTTCAAGCCCCAGGACTGGCACACACACAAACAAAAAAAGCATCTGTTCTATGTATTTCAATGGGTTCCTGTAAGGAACAAATAGTCTAATGAATTTGAAATAACTGCTAACATCTGAAGGCGTTGTCTCCAATCTCTGAGTTAGTCAGCTATAAGACTATCTCTAGGAAGTATGGGAAGGTGGAAGAAGGTAGCAAAAACATTCTCATTATTTGTGCCCCAGGAGTCATTCAGGAAAGATGTCAACGTAATTCATCATAGTTTTGGTTATGCTAAGTCATAAGTACCTGGTCCTACAGGCACAAAGAATTTGCCCACACTGTCACAACCAAGGAAGAAAAACAACAAATTACTCCTTAGACTTGATACTGGAGCAATTAGTAAGTCTCAAACTGGACCTTGTTAAGCAAATGATACTTAGGATCACATACCATCCAAAAGAATTGCAAAATGGATTATACTCATGGTAACATGGACACCTCATCTTTTAGACACCTCATCTTACTGAAGCAAGCACTAAAGTTAACTGGTATATTCAAGGGACCAGAATGGGTAGAAATACACATTGGCTTAAAATACTCATGTTCAGTATACAACTCTGATCCCTAGGATATGTTCCCTTTCTGCCAGATCATGCCTCTCAATTGTTGTCCTATCAACGAGTCTTATCTTCCATAAGTTCTTTATCTGTCCAAGTCACCAGAACACTGTTTACCTACCATTGAAATAAGGGCTGAGAAAAGGCTAAGTATCTGTTACAAAAATAGAGAGGTATTTACAATGAAATGGAATGGCTGTGTCAGCAGTTTTGGCCTCCTCTGCTTGTTTCAGGTTTAGCAGGGTAGATGCAAACAAAGGATTATTGATGAAATGCTTCATGTAGTGCTTCTCACATTCTTCCTTGGTCTTGGTGCACATCTGATTAGCTACATCCTGCCTATAAAAAAGAAAGAGAATAGTACTTTCATCTATGCATGCTGAAGTTATGGTTCTTTCCACATTTTAAGTCCATTTCTTACAATAGCAATAATCTGATATTTCCAAACTGATGTCAAGGAAATATCAGAAAAATAGTAAGACATATATAAGCCTGCTCTTGATATAAACAAATGTTCCAAATCTTGCTATTCCAAGACATAGAAGTAGTCCTTTCCTTGCTACTGTAAGAAAGGAGTATGACTAGAAAAAATCTATAAACTTCCCTCTGAGCAAGGCTCTATGGAAATAATAGCTATAAATAGTAATATACAAAATAGTAACACACAAAATGCTTTTTTTCTTTACTAAAGCATTTATAGGTCAGCCACTGAGCTATAAACATTCAAACATAATTATAGTTTACTTTAGTATTACTACCTTGAAGCATAATATTATCATTTCAGTTTTACAGAAAAAAAAAACAAAGATGAGACACAAAGAGATGGTTTTTCTCAAGAATATAAAGCTCCTTCCTAAGTATCAAAAGCAGAACATAGTCAATACCACTGACACAGAGTTCTCAGGTGATGAAGAGGTACACGTGAATCTCTCAAAGTCCCCTCCTCAAGCTCTCTTCCACAGCACATCACTTGTCCTTCTCCTAAGGCCTCATTATGCTCCACTCTGTACTTTAACCCTTTGTATATACAATCTAACTCCTCTACTAGATTATAAGCTTAAGGACAGACATATAAATAATTCTAAGCTCTAGTGCTCTTACCACCAAGCTCACTGCCTTACCCACAGATACAGTTCCTGCCTGACTGCCTTCCCTTCCTCCCTCTCTCCTTTTCCTTTTCTTTTTCCTTTGTCTTCCTTTCTGCCTCCACCTCCCCCTGCCCCATATATGTACATGTGTGTGCTTCTATGATCAAATCTAGAGCCTCAGGCATGCATTCCATCACCGAACTACACTCAGCCTCAGAGAAGCTTTTTTTTTTTTTAATGATCTTACGAGATACAACTCAGGCCTCTTGTAGGCTGCAGAGTTCTACCATAGGACTGGAATGATAACTCAAGTAGTAGAGTACCTGCCTAGCCAAGAATGAGGGTCAGGTTTAAACCTCAGTAAAAAACAAAACAAAAACAAAAAACAAACGTCTACTACACATCTCCAACCCAGAAAGTATTTTTAAAAAAATAAACTTAGCTTAGACAGGAGGGTAGCAGTTGTAGTCTTTGCTTAGACAGAAAGAAAGAAAGAATTTTCTTATTTTACAAAGTGAGAAGTAGAGCTGCATGTAACCCAAGTGGTAAAGCTCCAGCCTGAGCCTTGAGTTTAAGCTCCATTACCAGCATGAGAGAGAGAGAGAGAGAGAGACAGACAGACAGACAGACAGACAGACTGACAGACTGACTGACAGAGAAGGGGGAAGGAAAGAAGGAAGGGATAAAGAAATGGAAAAAAGAAAAGGAAGAAAGAATAACAAGCAAAAGACGAATACCCAAGCCCAAGATGATTAGTAAGGAACTCATGACTCATCAGGTTTTTAACCATTTTTGTCATTTTACATAGCATACAATTATTTTACAATGCTTAATAACTGCTAAATATAGTTTACAAGGGTAAAGTGAACTGAGACCTCTTCAGGACCTTGGACAGAGAGCAACAGGAAAATTTATGGAATTTTTGGAAAAATTATGCATACTAATAAGTTGGGACAGGAAGGATCTAGTTAATAAACTATATGAGCCAGGCACCAGTGGCTCATGGCTGTAATCTTAGCTATTCAGGAGGCTGAGATCTGAGGATCACGATTCAAAGCCAGCCCGGGCAGGAAAGTCCATGAGACTCTTCTCCAATAAACCACCAGAAAACCAGAAGTGGCACTGTGGCTCATTTGCCTTGAGCTGAAGAGTTGAGGGACAGTGCCTAGGCCCAGAGTTCAAGCCCCACGACCCACAAAAATAAATTTAAAAAGTAAATAAACTATATGATTGTGAGAAATAATTTTGATGCCCTAAGCCTTAAATTCTTCATGAACAAAAAATGCTTAATAATGTTTCTACTGTCTAGCTCCAAGAAGGTTAGAAAAAAAATGAGGATCGTGGTTCAAAGCCAGTTCGGGCAGGAAAGTCCATGAGACTCTTCTCCAATAAACCACCTGAAAACTGGGAGTGGCGCTGTGGCTCAAATGTTAAAGCACTAGCCTTGAGCTAAAGAACTCAGGAACAGCACCCGGGCCCAGAGTTCAAGCCCCATAACCAACCAAAAAAAAAGAAAAAAGAAAGTGATGCTAGAGGTAGTGGGTCACACCTGTAATTGTAGCTGCTCAAGAGATCTGAGGATCACAATAAAGCCTGCCTAGGCAGGAATGTCTGTGAGATTCATCTCCAATTAGCTACCAAAATGCTGGAAGTAGAGCTGTGGCTTAAGTGACAGAGCACTAACCTTCAGCACAAAAGCTTAGAGGCAGTGCTCTGGCCCTGAGTTCAAATCATCATAAAAAACAAATTGTGGCTGCTTTTTATTGCCTGTGTTGTCTTGAGAGTTGGCTGTAATCCAATTCCAAAAACCCAATAAAGAAAACAGTCATTGCAATAAAAAAAAAAAAAAAAAAAAAAAAATGTGGGTTGGGAATGTGGCCTAGTGGTAAAGTGCCTACCTAGCATGCAGAAAGCCCTGGGTTCAATTCCTCAGTACCACAAAAACAGAAAAAGCCAGAAGTGGCGCTGTGACTCAAGTGGTAGAGTGCTAGCTTTGAGCAAAAGAAGCCCAGGGACAGTGCCTAGGCCCTAAGTTCAAGCCCCAGCACTGGCAAAAAACAAAAACAAACAAACAAAAAAACAAATGGTGATATTGTTTAAAGGGTACTGCCTCTTAGGGCAATAACAACACTGCTTTTCAATCCTGTAAAGCTTTGATAGCTAAGAGAATGTTTTTAGGAAGGTTGTGAAACTTGAATCTTGAATGTGCTATGAACATCTACCATCTAAAAATACATCAACCTGAAGGCAGTGACAGCTAGTAAATCTAATCTTGTCCACTAGTCAGCAGGGAACCACCAACCTTCCCAGTGTTGACATCCAAAGTGACCTTTTAGAACTGCTCGGTCATGGACCACTAAGCGTCCCACATTTCTGTGAGGCATTTCAGGCCTGGGAAATAATGTGCAGAGAAGAGAACTTGGCTCTCAATCCTGGCTCAACAGGAGAGCAGAACAGCTTTCTTTTTCTGAGACTCCTCTTTCCACCCATTAGCAATGACTTGAGTCAACCTGGGGCAGGACCTCTGAAAACCAAGTTCTTACCAATTTCCAAAGCCACAGTCCATCACAGCTTCTAAAAGGGCCATTTCTTCTTGAGCAGTCCAGCTGGGGTCAAGAACAGGAAAGTCAGAGGTCTAAGGGGAAAAAGGTTTTATCTAAGAAAAGAGACAGAAATGGCACCAAGGAATTTCAACTGTAGAATTGTTATTCTGTTTGGTTTTGGTGCCTGGGAATTGAACCAAGAGGCTATTCCTGAGCTTTTTTGCTCAAGGCTAGCACTCTACCACTTAAGGCACAGCTCCACTTTCAGCTTTTTGGTAGTTAACTGGAAAGAAGAGTCTCATGGACTTTCCTTCTTGGGAGGGCTTTGATGGATGATCCTCAGATCTCAGCCTCCTGAGAAGCTAGGATTACAGATGTGAGCCACCAGTGTCAAACATGATTGCCATTCTGGAAGATCCTCAAAGTATATAATCAATTGCCTACTTCTTCCACCCCTACTTCCATCATTAACTACAAGGGTCTCCAATAAATGCTATCATCGATAATTACCATGCAACTCATGCAGAAATATATACATTTTCAAACTAAGCACAAAAGTAAATAGCTATTTTATTGTATGCTGAAAAGCAAGAAATATAAATATGTATAGTTTTGTTTAAACAGAAAATAAACTACATTTTTTTGTTTTTAAAAGGGTTACCTGTAGGGAAGCAAGTGAGAAAATAGGGTGAAGACAAGGACAGCTAGACATCTCTAAATATTCTTTGTTTAATAGATTTTACTTTGAAACATATTGTACAGAATTACTGAATTTTTAAATCATAAAAATCAAACGCAACATCAAAATTTGTAAATCAACTTTAAGACTTATTCACACAGAAATGTACATATCACCCGATGTGGAAGATATAGTTGTATTAGGCCGGATGCTGGTGGCTCATGCCTGTAATCCTAGCTACTCAGGAGGCTGAGAACTGAGGGTCACAGTTCAAAGCCAGCCTGGGCAGGAAAGTCCATGAAACTCTTATCTCCAATAAACTACCAGAAAACTGGAACTGGGCTATAGCTCAAGTGGTAGAGCACTCGCCTTGAGCTGAAGAGCTGAGGGACAGCGCTCAGGCCCAGAGTTCAAGTCACATAACCACACACACAAAAAAAGAAATAGTTGTATTGTCAAAGCTTTTTATAGAATTCACAAACTCCATGATAATGACAATTTGCCTTGTGAAGTTTAAAATATGTTTGTGACTTTAAGTATCACTATTCCACAATACTATGAAATTTGTGAAATTTATATAATCAATCTCAATAAAAAATTATTTTAAAAAAGACTTATTTACACAGAAAGAAACTATATGAAGTGATTTTACTTTTTATTTTATTAATTTTTACAAAACATCAAAGCCGGGCTGAGAAGGTGGCTCAGTGGTAGAGCGCTTGCCTTGCATGCCTGAGGCCCTGGGTTCGATTCCCCAGCATCACATAAGCAAAAAGAAAAAAAGCCGGAAGTGGCGCTGTGGCTCAAGTGGTAGAGCGCTAGCCTTGAGCTGAAGAGCTGAGGGACAGCGCCCAGGCCCAGAGTTCAAGCCCCACGACCGACAAAAAAAAAAAAAAAATTTATAAAACAGGGTTTACTTAACTCAGGGTTTACTTAACTGACTTGGAATGTGCCTGACCTGAAAAAAAAAATTTCCTTACACTGTTCATGAACACAGTGCCCATTTCACAATCTTTAAATACTACTTCCCATTAATAGGAACTGGAGCTCCTTAAAGACTTGCTTAAATGTTCTAGGTCAGGAATGAGTAATAAAGCTAGACAACATCGGGTCACACTAAAAACGAAGAGCTTTCAGACAGTGTAAAGGATTCAGAAGCTGAATAACAGGAGCTTCTGGTAACCAAACCTGGAATACTTGAATCAATAAGGATTACAACTACAAAGGATTAACACATCAAATACTTTAAATATCTGGAGGATGCTAGGCAATCAACTTCCAAAACTAGTAAGCAAAGGGAAATATTTTTATTTTGCTCCATAGAGTTTGAACTCAGAGCTTTGCCCTCTTTGGCTTACTTTCTTGGCTGGTAGTCTACCACTTAAGCCACACCTCCAGCTCAGCATTTTACTGGTTAATTTGGAGTTGGAATCTCTCAGATTATTTCTGCAATCCCTGATTACTAGAGATAATAACTTGATCTAATATAGTCAATGAACACCCTGATTAACAGAGATGATAATAACTTGGATCTAATATAGTCAATGAATACTACTCCCAATTTACAGAAACAGAAATGACAGAGAATCCAGACTATTCTAGTAACATCTAGTTTGTCAAAATTTAACAAATTATAAGAAATGAGAAGGGGAACTTCTGGATGATTCCTGAACATACAGAGCTTCCTGAAGGGTGGTGTAACTAGAGGGGACATGGAAGCTTTGTTCCCACACACTGTACTTTTTTTTTTTTTTTTGGGGGGGGGGGGGGGGAGGTCGGTCATGGGGCTTGAACTCTGGGCCTGGGCACTATCCCTCAGCTCTTCAGCTCAAAGTGAACGCTCTACCACTCACGCCACAATGCCACTTCTGGTTTTTTGAATGGTTTATTGGCTTTGAACCACCATCCTCAGATCTCATCCTCCTGAGTAGCGTAAGCAACTGACTCTCGGTTTGGTCATCTTTTAACATTAGCATTATTAGTTAAGTAATCCTGATGTCACACAGCCATTGGTATGATGCAGTGAGAAAGCACTTTAGGCCTCTGTGGTCTTCCTAAGTACTCATAATCCAAAAGGACTCATATCAATCATATGAACATAAACATTTTGAGTAACCCACAAAATACGCTTTGAGCTGCCATTAGTTATGAACAAGAAATTGTTGGTTTTTTTTTTTTTTTAATATCATGTCACACCCACTAAAATAGCCAAAATGAATGAGACTGACCTTGCAAAAAACTGGCAAGTGCCAGGCATCGGTGGCTCAAGCCTGTAATCCTAGCTACGCAAGAGGCTGAGATCTGAGGATCATGGTTCAAAGCCAGCCTGGGCAGGAAAGTCCGTGAGACATTTTTGTTGTTGTTGTTGGTTGTGGAGCTTGAATGTTGGGTCTGGGCGATGTCCCTGAGCGCTTCAGCTAAAGGCTAGCGCTTGAGCCACAGTGCCACTTCCGACTTTTTCTGTTTATGTGGTGCTGAGAACTCGAACCCAGGGCCTCATGCATGCAAGGCAAGCACTCTACCACTAAGCCACCTTCCCAGCCCCTATGAGACTCTTATCTCCAATAAACCACTAGAAAACTGCTTGGCTTAAGTGGTAGAGAGCTTGCCTTGAGCTGAAGAGCACAGGGGAGTGCCCAAGCCCAGAGTTCAAGCCCCATGACTGACCTCTCCCCCCACCCCCCAAAAAAAAGTACAGTGTGTGAAAACAAAGCTTCCATGTCCCCTCTAGTTACACCAAAAAAAAAAAAAAAAAACTGGCAAGTATGTGAAGCAACCACAATTGTCAAATACTCATAAAGGTGTAAAATGAAAACTCTTTGACCATTTCTTTAAAAGTAGTTAATCATTTATTCTATGACAACAATTCCACTACTAGGCATTTATCCAAGAAAAACAAAAAATATATGAGCACAGAAAGCCATCCATAAGAACATTCATAACAATATTATTCATAATAGCCATCAGCTGAGTCCATCAAAAGAATGGATAAACAAATTAGGTATATACATGCAATAAAATATTCTTCTGTAATCGAAAGAATTACTAATATAGGCAATAAGAATTAAGCACAAAAAACTGAAAAAATAAACAAAAGAATACATACAACGTGAGTCCATTTATATGTAGTTCTGCAATATGCAAAATGGATCTACACCGGTAAAAAAAAAAATACTGATTGCCTTAGAGGCAGAAAGGGGGACAGTGTTCTAAAAATAAAGACTTCAGCTGGGTACTGGCAGATCACACTGTAATCCTACTTACTCAGGGGGCTGAGATCTAAAATTCCCAATTCAAAACCAGTCCAGGCAGAGAAGTCTGACTCTTCTCTCCAATTAACTAGCAAAAAAAAAAACACACAAAAAAAAACCCAAAACCAAAACCAGAAGAAGAGATGTGGCTCCAGTAACAGAGTGCCATTCTTGAGAAAAAAAACAAACAAAGCCCAGCACACCAGCTGAATTCAGGTCTTAGTATTAGCACAGGAAAGAAAGACAGGAAGACAGGAAGGAAGGAAGGAAGGAAGGAAGGGGTTGGGAAGGTGACTCAGTGGTGAGCGCTTGCCTTGCAGGCATGAGGCCCTGGGTTCGATTCCTCAGCACCACATAAGCAAAAAGAAAGAAGCCGGAAGTGGCGCTGTGGCTCAAGTGGTAGAGCGCTAGCCTTGAGCTGAAGAGACAGTGCTCAGGCCCAGAGTTCAGGACCCACAACCGGACCCCAAAAAAAAGAAAGAAAGAGAAAGAAAGAGAGAAAGAAGGAACGAAAGAAAGCGAGAGAAAGAAGGAACGAAAGAAAGAAAGAAAGAAAGAAAGAAAGAAAGAAAGAAAGAAAGAAAGAAAGAAAGAAAGAAAGAAAGAAAGAAAGAAAGAAAGAAATTAAGAAAGAGACCGTATTTACTTAGGGATGTAATAAAACACTTAATAATATCTGGGGTATTTGTATCATAATAATCTGGAGAGCTGAGGTTTAGATGAAATCCTTGAGCTAATAATTTCAAGAGCTGGTGATAGACATATGGGAATTTATTTCTCTATATGTGGCAACTGGTTACAATGGTAGCTCCAGATGTTAGAATTCTTTCTCTTTTTTTGTCAGTTGGAGCCCAGCAAGAAACAGTTTTTAATTTAAGCACCTACTGTGGATATACCTAACACACCAGCTCTGAATAAAGAAAATTCAAGCCAGGTTCTGGTGGTTCAGGCCTATAATCCTAGCTACTTAGGAAGCCGAGATTTGAGGATGGAGGCTTGACCAGCCTGGACAGAAAGAGTCTATGAGACTCTTATCTCCAATTAGCTACTAAAAAAAAAAAAAAAAAACCAGAAGTGGAACTGTGGCTTAAGTGCTAGCCTTGAGCAAAAAAGTTTAGGGAGAGTACTGAGGTGCAGAGTTTAAGCCCCAGGACTGGCACAA